CTTCGAGAATTGTGACAAGCTTCATCTAGTTCTCTTTTGTAAAAGCAACCATATGAGAAATACAAGCCCAACCACAAGACCATACTACAGACCACAGGGGTACATTCTCTACATTCCCAGCAGCCCATGTTTTCTTGCTAATGTTTCCTGGCTGCGAGTGAGAGTTGTGCTGAAGGCCTCAGGGGTTTAAGCAGATCGTTCGAAGACTTTACCGTATGAGCCCTGAACCGTGGTGCCGCTATCTATGACCCTGAAATTATGGCCTACATGTCCTCTATTTATCAGTGCCAAGACGTCCATTAATTATGCCTACGCTCACAACCCGGACAAAACAAAAACAACTGTACAAAGCCCTTCCACAACCCTTGCAAAACAACTCCCGAAACCCTGAAACCCTTACAATTTAAATCTGAAGCCCTCTTACCCGGTTCCTGTATTCAACTTCAATGATCACGAGACTTGACCATTGAATGGGTTTTGTAAGGTTTACGGCTTGGTCGGCTATTTTTAAGACACCTCTGTGTAGCCTATATTGACTCTACCTGGAGGACCATGGGACTTAGTCAGTAAGGTCATAAGTACCTGTATTGGGGTACACAAGTGAATATAAGTATAGCTACCGTATTTATAACCCTACTGTTGATGATATAAATCCTGCATTACCTTAAGGACCCTAAACTATGGGAGATATGGTGCATTCCTTATTAAGGGTAATGGGTAATGCAGGATTTATATCAAACGTAGTTACTGAATCCCATGACCCTCTAAGGAGCTACGACCGCCTTAAGTCCGCCGTTGCGCGGCAAATCGCAGCCGATGGGATGCCCCACCCCTGCTTGAAGCCCGCCCCTTCAGGGAACGAACAGAACCCTTAGGGTTTAGGGTTTAGGATTTAGGGCCCTAGAAGGAACCCTTGAAGGAACCCCTACAGGAACCCTGAGAAGCAACCCTTAAAGGAACCCTTGCAATCATCATTATGGCAGGATTCATCATCCCCTCCACAGCTCCCTTACCAGTCCCGCTGCCTAGAGCCCCACCAATGAAGCCACCGATGACCAAGACGGGCTCCAAGATATCGGCAGGACATCGCATCTCAGAGTTTCAAAGGGTCCAAAATGTAGGGGGTGTGGGGCTTTTGATTGCCCTGATACAGGGGCGTTAAAACTAAAAAATAAAATTCAGAATAGGGCTTTGGGGCCATTATACGGTGTACTGTTCAACGATGAAGCCTAAGGAATAAAGTCGGTAATTATTGTAAGTTTGTGGGAAGCTCAATGCACTTCAAATACTTCAGGGGCTTAAATAATTACCAATGCTGCTTTGGGGCTGCTTTTTATAAGTATTCTTACTTCCCAAATACTCCCGGCTTAATAAGCTAAAACTTCGAGAACAAGACAAGACTGCATACAAGGGCCCCCCAAGATTGATAACTTGGGCTTTGGACCACTAATTAACATACTGTGCCCCAAAACCCTAGTCTAATTGCCAAGTATGTCCGTGCCCGCTGTAAACCTTACCTGGAGCCTGAACAGCCTATCTGTCTAAGGACCCATAGAAGGAAATCAGCGGAAGGTCTTTTTTCCTAACGCTGGCGGTCCCCGATCTTATTGCTAACGTTGGCTCTTCTTGATTGGCTGCAATCATTGTAAATTGCAGCACTTGCTACTGAATTGCATCAAGCTATTGGGGAACTGCAATTAGCAGGGGGGAGTTTTGCCGCAAGTTATTGCGAGATTGCAATTTCGAAGCTCCTGTCTTCGGTCAAATACTGTAAACTGCAGCATTTGTTACTGTCTTGCATCAAGCTGTTGGGAAATTGAAATTTCGAAGCTCCTGTCTTGCGTCAAGCTATTGGAGAATTACAGTTTGCAGTGTGTGGCTTTTCGTCAAGTTATTGGGGAATTCCACTGTCAGGGTTTCGCTGTGCTTCAAGCAAGCTACTGGGGTGTTGCGATGTCGAGACTCTTGTTGTGTGTTGAACTGTTGGGGTATCACAATTTGCAGAGTTTTGCGCTCCAAGCTATTGGGGGATTGCAAGTGCTTGTTCTGTGTCAAGCTATTGGGGTATTCCAATTTGCAAGGTGTGTGTGTGTGTGTGTGTTTGTTTTTGATTATTCTAAAAAAAAAATAACAACACTATTTCCTGATGCTTTGGACGGATTTCGTGATTTCCGCAGGTTTTCCGGAGGAAATCGTACGTTACCTTAGATTTTCTGAGGTACAGCACTATTTTCTTACATTTCGGACGGATTTCGTGCCATCTCCCTAGCTCTATCTCAGGAAAACCTACGTTACCTTGGTTACCTTGGTTATTTTCTTTGTCGTGGTGGTGGTGGTGGTGGTGGTGGTGGTGGTGGTGGGGGTGGGGGTGGTGGTCGTGGTGGTCGTGGTGGTGGTTGTGGTGGTGGTGGTGGTGGTGGTGGTGGTGGTGGTTGCTGTTGCTGTTGTTGTGCTTGCTGTTGTTGCTGTTGTTGTTGTTGTTGTTGTTGTTGCTGTTGTTGTTGTTGTTGCTGTTGTTGCTGTTCTTGTGGCTTAAACAAGCTGGACAGGGAGCTGATTGGGTGTGAAAGGATTGTCGATGGTGTCTTAATGCATGCCTGGAGAGGCCTTCTCAAGTGTGAACCAATATGGTTCGTGCGAAAACTTAGAAACGAGAGAGGCCACACATGACTTTGCATTCCGTGCACACACACGTGTACTTAACAAACACTCCAGGTAGATTGTGTTGTCGTTGCTGTTGTTGCTGAGCATTGTTTTGAACACGCCAAACCATTTGTCGGTCCCAGTTCATCATAAATCTTAAACATGCCCTTCATTTATCATGTGGCGATTGCCATCTTACTTCTTAAACACGCCCTTTCATGTGGCGATTCCGGTTCATCATATATCTTAAACACACCCCTTCCCCCGATTGGGCGATTCAGGTTCCTCATCACCATCATCATCTTCATCATCAACGTCATAGTCGTCATCATCGCCACCATCACAATCATCAACATCATCATCACCATCATCATCAACGTCATCATCGCCATCATCGTCATCATGACATCATCGTCATCGTCATCGTCATCATCATCATCATCATCATCATCATCATCATAGGTTAGACACACCCCATCATGGCGACCGAGTTTCATCACATATCTTAAACACGCCCCTCTCCATATGTCTGGAGCACGCTCCCCTCATTTGGCGATTAATCTATGAATCTTCATCATATATCTCATCTGCGAAACCCACCCCCAACTTTTTGTGGGCCGCAGGCCAAAAAAGAGAGAGCACTTGAGGATTAGAGGACCAGGGACCAAAGGAACCAAAGGACCGGAGGACCAGGGAACCAAAGGACTGGAGGACCAGGGACCCAAGGGCTCCAGACAAGTGCCAGCGTCAGGAAAACCAAAAAACGCGGGCCCTCATAATAGGGAACCACAAAAAGTAGGTGATGTAGGGTTCAGACAAGCTCCAAACTCTGAACCTTTCCTATGCACCTCAAGGTTCGGGATCCAACAACTTTCAGTGCCACTGTCGCCACAAGCGCGTCAGAGGAGGGCTTAGGGTTTAGGGGGGTTTAGGGTTTAGGGTGTCTTGGAGTGAGTTTCGGCACGTTTCGGTGGAGAGTTGGAGGCATTTGTCAGTAAGCTTTCAATGCAAAAGTAGGCGCAACCGGATGCATACTGAGATTGGTCAGGGTTTGTCCATAGCGTCCCTGAGAGTAGTGCTTGCATGTCCGGCCCACAATCAATCTGCATGAGGCATGTCCTGGCTTCCGCCACCCTAAACCCAAACCTCTAAACACTAAGCCCGATACTCTACTTAACACGGGATGAGACTACTAATCATTCAGACTCCTGGGCAACCGACCCTGGAATGTAGCACATACTCTTGGATAGCCAACTCTAACCGAAGGTTAAGATGATGTTCGAATCCGTTTTTCGAACCGAAACAGAACTGCTACATGTGAGGGTCTAAACAAGTACTTAGAAGATCATGGAACTTGATAAGTTAGGCTTCAAGTAGCTTAGTTGGGGTTGTGAGTAACTATCAGTCTAGTTACCTTCCTTCTAACCCTCGTTACTAAGCCCCGTGATCACTCCGAGCCCACCGCCGACATGGCCAAGACCAGAGCGACCGCCTGGCGAGCACGTCATTTGAGGTTCCCCTAAACCCTAAACCCTAAACCCTAAACCCTTCAAGGCGACCCCAACCCCTGAACTCCCAACGCACTTTAGCCAGAATACTCAGAATACCCTAAAACCCTAAATTTAACCCTAAAGCCAAACAACCCTTAACCCTAAACCCTTAACCCGAAACTCTTTGTTGTGAACCCCAAAAACCCGAGGCCCCAATTTTCGTCTGGATGTGCTTTGGCCGCGGACGTGAGCCCTAAACCCAAAGCCAAAACACAGCCGTGGCTCTTCAAAGCCTCCTTGGTCTCTACCCATAGGCCCCATAGTAGTTCCTTTTTGAGATTACCCTACAGGATTCTAAATATGAACCCCAAAAAGGAACTACTATGGGGCCCTATCAGACGGTCTCGGGTTTAGGGCGGGTTTAGGGTTTAGGGTTTCGGGTTTCGGGTTTCGGGTTTAGGGTTTCGGGTTTCGGGTTTAGGGCTTCGGGTTGAGGGTTTGGGGGCTTAGGCAGGCTTCAAGGAGAAGGTTCTATTCGGGCCCTCTGTATGTAATTCACAAGATGCTCGCAGTGCTTTTGCACAGAAAGAAGGTTTTTTAGGTTCCAGAAACCATTCAGAGTCCCAAAACTCCTCGTTTACAAGCCTGAAGACAGGCCGAGAAAATCGTAGCAAAAACCTTCCGACTCAGGAGTTTTGCACCCTTTTGATGCACGAGGCGAGGCAAGGGATGGTGCGGATATGGGAGTTTCCGAAAATTAGGGTACCTTATTTTGGCTTATAATAAGGATCCTATTATTTAGGGTACTATATTAGGGTCCCCTATTTTCGGAAACTCCCATATGGCAGGACTGAGGCGATGTTGTTCTCATGACTTCTTCTCGGAAGCACGAGCCTCCAGCAATCGCCGGCATGTTGCCAGCACCAACGCGGTACGGCCGTAATAGTCGTCCTTTTGAGAACAGGCCTCAGACAGCAACTGCAGGACTTGAGAATGGCCCCGATTGGCTGCGGTCATCAGGGCGCCGCAGCTCTCCTGGTCGCGTACATCCAGCTCAGCACCGGCCTCCAGGTTTAGGGTTTGGGGTTTATAGGGTTTGGGGCTTAGGGTTTATAGGGTTTAGGGTTTAGGGTCTCCGGCTTCGGGTTTAGGGTTTATACGGTTTAGGGTTTAGGGTCTCGGGTTTGGGCTTTAGGGTTTATAGGGTTTAGGGTTTCGGGCTTAGCGTTTAGGGCTTAGGGCCTCCAGGAGCAACTGTACGACTTCAGCATGGCCGTTGACCGCTGCATGCATCAATGCTGTCCAGCCAAGGCGGTCGCTCAGGCCCAGCTGAGCACCGGATTCCATCAGAAACTGCAGGACTCCAGAATGACCGTTGATGGCCGCATAGATCAGTGCTGTCCCGCCAGAACTGTCCGTCAAGTCTACCTTAAGCTACCATCACCAACTTGCTTGGTAGTTAAAAAACCCGATTATCGATTTTTCGGGACCCTGCAAAGAAGTATATAGGTTCTCAGTAGGAACCCCCTATCTAAAACATAAAGAATGTACAGGGGCCCTACCAAAAAAAGCAGGCTTTGACCGGTCAAGTCTACCTGAGCTTTGGCCTCCACGAGCAGCTCTACCACATCAAGTCTTCCTGCCGAGGACGCGCTCATCAGTGGTGAGCCTTTTCGGATTTTGACCCTAAACCCTAAACCCTAAACCCTAAACCCTAAACCCTAAACCCTAAACCGTTGGTGTTTAGGCTTAAGGTGTTTTCGGCGGTTTTGGGTTTAGGGACTTTGGAGGTTTAGCAGGATTTGAGGAATTGTTGGGTGTCTGTTTGTTTAGGTTTTTTAGGGCTAGGGTATGTACTTTGTCCGGACTGAAACAAGGAAGTCATAACTCATAACTGTGGAACCCGGAAAATGCAGTTTTTGTAGGTCCAGGCACCCGGAAGCATATCGACATCAACAACAACAGTATCCGGGTCCGCTGGCACCTGCAGCAGATTTTCCACCTCAGGAGTCGATATGGCGCGGGGGTGCTCTTTTCCAAAAGCCGAGGTTTTGGAATATGTCTACTTCAACCTACCAACACCTTCATTTTGCAGGGTTTTGTACGTATTCTATACTCGAGCTCACAATAAGAACCTACAAAAATAGGTTCTGGTATACGTAGTATATGGTATCCATCGCGGCGAGTGTTTCGGCATGGCCATCTCCCCTGCCTCGGCTGCGGGACCAGAACCGGACGCTGCGTACAGCCGATCCCGCTGTGCGTCAGATGCCTCGGAGAAGGGCACAGCCACAACCTGCAGATCCATGGCGCAGTCCAACTCGAAGGCATCATCTAAGATGTTGCCCTCGTGCAAAAGCCTTTGCCTGAAGCGTGGTGGCAGGCCGTGCTGGTGATGCAATCGCTGCTTCAATGTCTTGACATCGCTCAGCTCCGCGCAAGGAATACTTGTCAAACGTTCACCCGAGAGCAGCGTGATGTGCAGCATGAAGGCCAAGCCCGAAAGCGCCGCAAAGCGCTCAAAACCCAACCCTCCCCCTGAACGAACCCTAAACCCTATGAACCCTATAACCTAAACCCCATCCATCCCAAAGAAGGCGATGTGTAGCACGTTGGCCAATCCAGGATTCATATTCTCAACCGTAGTACACCCGTTCGGCCCAAACCCTGTCACTTCGAGCCAGATTCGCAGCAAGGGGACTCGGGCTGTGAGCATCGCCTTGTTTCTTTCGGTTTGGGGTTTCGGGTTTTTGGTCTTCGGTTTAGGGTTTAGGGCGATAGGGCCTCAGGGTTAAGGGTTTAGGGGGTATTGGGACCCTGAACCCTAAACCCTAAACTGGCCAGGGAGCTGCCGTGAGGCCTCCCCGATTCTCTGTCTCTCTCTCCCTCTCTCTCTCTTTCTCGCTCGCTCGCTCTCTCTCTGTACACAAATACATACAGACGTATGTCTGCATTTGTACAGACACATATATTCTGGTTGTGTGTGTCTCTCTATATATATATATATGCATAATTAACATAGTCTTACTCTCAGTAAATACATGTATTCTAGGAATCGAGGCACACCTGAATTAACAAAGGCTTTTCCGAGAAGAGCCGAAAGATCAAAGGCAAAGCGGTGAGCTTTGCTCATGTACCGTAGAAGCTTGAATAATTCCGAGCATAATTCCTTAACCGGGGTTCCTGATTTCAATTGTTACACATCAACAGATAAATAGACAACTAGATAAATAGATGAATAGATAGATACCTGGATAAATAAATACTTACATGAGTAAATACAGGAGTACATAAATACAGACATAAATAAACAACAACTACACCAATAAGTAAATAGATAAATAAATAAACGAAATTACATATTTGTATATGTGTGTGTGCTTATAAATTTATAATACACCAACATGCTATTCGAATTTTCAAGGTCCCTAGAGTACATTTGGATATCGTCGGCTCTACGGCAAAACAACCTCAAGCTGCCACTCCAGTCCTTGAAAGCGAGAAACATCCTGCTTGAATGCAAATTTGAGGCTTTAGGGTTCAGGGTTTAGGGGTTTAGGGGTTTAGGGGTTTAGGGGTTTAGGGGTTTAGGGGTTTAGGGTTTAGGGTTTAGGGTTCGGGTTTAGGGGTTTACGGTTTGAGGCTTTAGGGTTTAGACCCCCGGGGTACCCTTTGATATACTCCACTATTGAAGGACCATAAAAACTCTGCTAGATGGCAGTTGCGGGGTTCTCGTAAGTTTAGAACCCTAAACCACTGTAGACACCTTTAAAGGAACCCCCTTTGTAGATCCCTTTGAATGAATTCCTTACAGATCCGTTCCGAATGTCCACGTCGGGTCTAGTCTAGACCCGAAAACCGAAGAGCATTGTCACCGGAAGTCGGCTTAGGGTTTAGGGTTTAGGGTTTAGGGTTTAGGGTTTAGGGTTTAGGGTAACTGGAGCTGTGTAGGAATACTTGGAGGATCATGGGACTTAGTAAGGAAGATTTACAGTACCATATTGCGGATATACATACTTATGCGTACAGTTACCTCATGTATAAACCTAGTTACTAACTCCCATGATCCTTTACGTAAGGGTCTCGGGTGTAAGGCTTGTTGTTCTAAGAAGTTAACCGCAAAAGCCGCAACACCCAAAAGCCAAAATGCAGAGCTAAGCTACCCATACGGTACTACGATGGAGAAGACTTTCCAAAGACTCCAACCTTTTCAACCAAGGAACAGAGGCTTATTGTGAGTCACAATAAACGATTCCGTTTATTACTGTAAACAGCATTCCTGAATGGAGGTACCGCAACCTACTTGGAGCATCGTGGGACGTAGTAAGAAAGATTAGAAGTGCCTTGTTTTGCTTTGGCTTGCGGGAACCGTTCCGGGACAGCCGGGACACGACACCTTCACAGAAAGGATCTTGACAAATCCAATCTAAACAGATGAGGCGGACATCACAGGTCTGTTTTGTCCTGCACCAGTCTGTTGTGCAGGTGAAACGGCAACGGAGGGCTGCATTAGGTCTGAAAGTCTTCAGCCAGGACATCAGCTTGCACTACGGTTGATGATATAAATCCTGCATTACCCAGAATAAGGAATATACCATAATTCCCATAGTTTAGGGTCCTTAAGGTAATGCAGGATTTATACCATCAACAGTATCAGTTGGGCTCCAGCAATCGCCGGACTTCATCCTGTCCTCACAGGCTGGGGCTAGGGATCACTGGACTTCTTGGGCTCGAGGTTCTCTGCGTTTGGTGTTTCTTTTGGTGTCAGGGTTTAGGGTTTAGGGCTTAGGGTTTAGTGTTTTAGGGTTTAGGGTTTAGGGTTTAGGGGCAGTAATAAAAACGGCTTGGAAATGGGGATTTGCCGTGGTGTAAGATTTGGGGGTGTAAGTAGGGTTTTTTTTTCTAACCGACGTGCTACAGGCTAGGCGCTGGGGTTGAGCAGAGTGCGGGGTCCTGCGTCTGTTGCCAGCATCAAAGCCGTACGGCCGTCACCGTCACGCAAGTCCTTCTGAGCTCCCGCATCCAAGAGCAGCTGCACGACTTGAGCATGACCAGAAATTGCTGCACCCATCAGGGCAGTTCTGCCCCAATTATCAAGTGCATCCACTACAGCTCCAGCTTCCAGAAGCAACTGCACGACTGGAGCATGATCGTTGATTGCCGCCTGCATCAAGGATGTCAAGTTGTAGCTGTCGCTCAAGTTTGGGTTCGCGCCGGCTGCCAGGAGCAACTGCACGACTGGAGCGTGGCACAAGCTTGCCGCAAAGATCAGGGGCGTCCCGAGCTCCTTGTCACACAAGTTCACCTGAGCCCTGGCCTCCAGGAGAAATTCTGCGACTTTCGCATGTCCGTTAATTGAAGCTCTCATTAACCTTGTTCATGGTTGGGGTAGTATTAAAAATTTTAACTTATATTCCTTATTGGGTTTAAGTACNNTGTTACCCAACTATGACAAAGTAACGCCGTGTGGCCGGAGACGTCGTCGCACGCGTCTTTCCGAGCGCCAGCAGCCAGGAGCACCCGCACGACTTCAGCATGTCCGAAGCCGGCTGCAAACATCAGGGCTGTGCTGTCCTCATGGCTTCCTTTTTTAGGGTTTGGGGTTTAGGG